GAGAGAGGAGAGAGAGAGAGAGAGAGAGAGAGAGAGAGAGAGAGAGAGAGAGAGAGAGAGAGAGAGAGAGAGAGAGAGAGAGAGAGAGAGAGAGAAAGAAATATAGACGATAGACACACGCAGTATAGAGTGTAGCTAAAGAAGGACGAGAAAAGAGAGAGAGCGCGAGAACGAATATACACAAGAGCGAATAGAGGCCGAATTCGCCAAGGCCAAAGTTCCCAGCTTCCCAAACGGCGCCGACAGAAGTGCACAAAACAGCTCCATCCGAGAGCCGTGGCATCGCCCACCGATGGCACTAACAGACGACGAACCATAAAAGGCAGACGATTATGGCACATGATACTGACAGCCACCGACGGGAATCTGTACAGCATTGCCAAGTGCAGTGTGTTTTGCTAGTGATGTCACTCGCACGCTACCCTGTGTGCTTACCCGAGTGCCTTGCTGGTGATATGGAAAGCAGAATCTGCAAATACAGTTGTTTCAGCGCGTAGGCCTATGTAAACATCACCTTTGCCTTCCCCCTTTCACTATTTTACTCAAATACAATAAAAAACTACGAGGCATCAATTTCCAGTTCATCTGCTTCACGCCCTAAAATTTACAAAAGACGCAAACATCCGCAAAGGGAACAGAGCCACAGACACGTGCTGCTACCGGCAGTCACTGGTACGCAGGGTACACACGGTACGCCTCATCACGCACCCATGGCGAGAGTGAGATCAATATCCCGGAGTACAAAGAATGGAAGCAAAGGGAACGTGAAGGCTCTCCACCTGGCCGCACTGCCACAGTGGCCGCAGGAGGATGGGATGTGGGGGGAGGGAGAGGAGGGGAAGGAGAGGAAGGAAGAGGAGGAAGCAAAGAGGAAGAGGAAGATGATCAAGAAGAAGAGGAGGAGGGGGAAGAAAAGTGGCAAGGATATCGCTGTTGTTTGGGGTAAAATCTGTCAGCCAGTCTCAACACTCATCTCCCAGGATCGGCAAACGAAAGGTTGACATGCACGCCAACTAACGCCAGTAACTAATTCCTGGGTGATTTCCCAACTGAATGACTCCTGATTCTGATTTGCTGACGGGCGCCCTCGACTTGGCTTCTTTCTGCCTCGCTCTTAATCAAGTTTACGGACTAACTGGCCGTCTCTTACTGGCATTTTTAAGGGAACTGTAAGCCGATTCCCATTCCTAATCGGTGGAAGTGCAAGCTGATTCCCATTCCTAACCGACGGACTGCCTCTGAACCCTATCTTGTCACCTGCAATGGTATTACAAAAGTCAGCCGCGAAGCCCTTGGGGTGCATGCAGCAAGGGATAAAAAAGAAGAAGAGGAAGAGGATGAGGAGAAAGCGGAGCAGGAGGAGAAAGAGAAGGAGGAGGAAGAAGAAGAGGAAGAGGTGGAGGAGAAAGAGGAAGAGGAGGAGAAAGAAGAGAAAGAGGAAGAGGAGGAGAAAGAAGAAAACGAGGATGAAGATGAGGGGAAAGAGAAAGAGGAGGAGGAAGAAAATGTATATACAGAAGGGCGAAGAGGAATAAAAAAGGAACGCGAACTGAGAAACGATGAGAAGAAAATTGTGTCGGACTTTTGGTGGGGTGTTTGGGAGCGAGGGAAGGGCGGCGTGTGCGAGCGTATACGCCGCGTGCGGGCGTGGGTGGGTGGGGATTGGTCCACTGCCAGGGACGTATTGATCCAGAAGGCGTGGAGGAGGAGGAGGAAGAGGAGGGGTGGCAGAGGAAGAGGGCCAGAGGAGGGCCAGCCAGCTAGCCTGCCTGCTTGCCTGCTGCACTCCCTCCCCTCCCCTCCCTCCCCATCTCCCCACCACCCCCCCTCGCTGACACTCAACTCGTCACCATCAACGACGCCAAGCCGCTGCCACAGCCCTGCTTTACGCCGAATCCAGTCTGCCGTTGCTTTGCTTCGACCATCAATACTGCCAAGGAAACCCAATTGAAGGGCGATGTACTGCAGCTCTGACAAGGCCTTCGCAACCGCTGCAATTTTTGTGTATCGTCTCGTACTGGAGCATGACGTTGGCCGGCGTTTCCTCGGTTCGGTGTCCGTTCTTTTCTTGTTATCATTCTGTGTGTATATATATATATATGTATATATATATATATATCTACGCGCGTGCCCGTGTGTGTGTGTGTGTGTGTGTGTGTGTGTGTGTGTGTGTGTGTGTGTGTGTGTGTGTGTGTGTGTGTGTGTGTGTGTGTGTGTGTGTGTGGTGTGTGTGGTGTGTGTGCGTGTGCGTGTGCGTGTGTGTGTGTGCGCGCGCGCGCGCATGTGTGTGTGCGCGCGCGCGCGCATGTGCGTGTGCGTCTACCAGACATATTGCATCTGCTGTCAAGAGGTCTCACTAATCCTTTCCTTTGCATTTCCCTTCATCCTCCCTCTCCTCGCTCTTGTGACAGTTCGTCTCCTTTAAGTCGATTTTTCACGTGTCCCTCTCTTTGGCTTCATTAGTCAGCTTGTGGACCTTAGTGCGCACACGCTGCCACCCCCCTTCTCTTTCGCTATCTCCCCCCTCCTTCACCCTGCCCCACCCTCCCACCCTCCCTCGCTCGGTCTCCACCCCCTACCCCACCCCACCTCTCTCTTCTCTCTCTCTCTCTCTCTCTCTCTCTCTTCTCTCTCTCTCTCTCTCTCTCTCGCTTCCGCATCCCCCTTTCTCTCTCCTTCTCTCTCCTTCTCCTCCTCCTCTCCCCTCCCCTCCCCTCCCTCCCCTCCCCTCCCTCCCTCTCCTCTCCCTCCTCTCCTCTCCCCTCCGTCCCTCTCCTCTCTTCCCCTCTCTCTCTCTCTACTTCCCTCCGTCCCTCTCCCTCCCACCCCTCACTCTCCCACCCTCCCCCCTTTAGACGGCCTTCCCTCGCCCCAGAGAGGTGACCTCCTGGAATGCGACCCGTGACCTCTGGCCGGATGCTGCCGTGACCATGCATCCCCCTCTACCCCCCACCCCCCCCGACCACCCTCGCCATCACGAGGCGAGAACGGCTTCAGGATCTCAACCCGTTTAATCGCCAAAGAGAGAAAGACTAAAGGGAAAAAAACTGGTAGAATGTAGCACCTGGGGAAAAAAATAGACAATTCGAATGCTGAGTTCACCCGTCAAAGGAATCCGAGTGTGAGAGGGAGGGAGGGAGGGAGGGAGGGTTTAGATTCATTCTCTCTCTCTCTCTCTCTCTCTCTCTCTCTCTCTCTCTCTCTCTCTCTCTCTCTCTCTTCTCTCTCTCTCTCTCTCTCTCTTCTCTCTTCTCTCTCTCTCTCTCTCTCTCTCTCTCTCTCTATTTATGTATGTCTGTATGTATGCATGTATATGTATGTGTAATTATTTATTTAGGTTTCTGTACATCTACAGTATTTCTGTGCATGTCTGTGTACATTTATGTGTATTTATTTATATGTATTTACCTACATGTGCACGCAGTAAGACATTCTCACGTCTAAATACACTCATCAACATTATGCCGATGGTGCATTTACGTGTATGAATGCGCGCGTGTGTACTAAAGATGCCTTGAAGGGAGCGTTTCTGCCCCTCTCTTCTCGGCTCCGATATTCGTCCTTCGCGATTCCTCCGCCTTTCCCGATTTTCCTCGGCGCTGAACCCCGGCGCGTGAACCCCTCATCCCGGGACGAAGGTGACGCGCAGTCGACCGACGGTTCCGCACTCTGGTCTTCGCGATCTTCGTGAAATTCGGCTTGGAATTGCTCGGTGCGGGGAGAAGGGAAGGGGGAGAAGGAGAGGTAGAGGGGGAGATGGAGGGAGATGGAGGGAGATGGAGGGAGGGAGGGAGGGAGGGAGGGAGGGAGGAAGGGAGGGATGGAGAGAGGGGAGAGAGGGAGGGAGGGAGGGAGGGAGGGAGGGAGGGAGCGAGAGAGAGAGAGAGAGAGAGAGAGAGAGAGAGAGAGAGAGAGAGAGAGAGAGAGAGAGAGAGAGAGAGAGAGAGAGAGAGAGAGAGAGAGAGAGAGAGAGAGAGAGAGAGAGAGAGAGAGAGAGAGAGAGAGAGAGAGAGAGAGAGCGTGGGTCTGCTTTCAAGCACAACTGACACATACTGCCAAGAAAAGACGTTACACGACAAAAACCGCCACGTCCAAACTCGAGGGAAAATCGTACCCCATCTTCACGCCGAGCAGCGTAACACAACGAGGGGGAAATTAATGAGGTGGAAGCCATGACGTAGGCATGACGTCATGGTAGCGCTGCTGCATGACGACGAGGAGGAGAGGAGGAGGAGGAGGAGAGAGGAGGAGGAGGAGGGGGGAGGGAGGAGGGGGGGGGGAGGAGGAGGAGGAGGAGGAGGAGGAGGAGGGGAGGAGGGGGGGAGGGGGAGGAGGAGGAGGAGGAGGAGGAGGAGGAGGAGGAGGAGGAGGAGGAGGAGGAGGAGGAGGAGGAGGAGGAAGGAGAGAAGGAGGAGGAGGAGGAGGAGGAGGAGGAAGGAGAAGAAGAAGAGAAGAAGAAAAGAAGAAGAAGAAGAAGAAGAGAAGAAGAAGAAAGAAGAAGAAGAAAGAAGAAAGAGGAGGAATAGGAAGCACTGGTTGATGGTATACGGGAATGAGGCAAAGGAAGGAGTTGCAACCTTTAAAAATCCAAACGCACGTGTACACAAACACGTAGCCCCATAATACTACACAAGCCAAATTCGACACGAAGTTGACCAACATTACACACACAAAAAGAAAGAAAGAAAAGAAAAGAAAAGAAAAGAAAACCAAACCAAAACAAAATACTTCAATAAAATCGGTCAAGGAATACAGATAATAAAGATAGCACGGATAATAAAGACGAAGATAATGATAAAGATAGAGATGCTAATAATGATGATAATGATAAAGATGATGATGATGATGATACTAATAAAGATGCTAATAATGATGATAAAGATAAAGATGCTAATAATGATGATAAAGATAAAGATGATGATGATGATGACTATGAAGATGATGATGAAGATGATGATGAATTTTGTTAGGGCAAGACAAGGTTCGGGAGATACACGTACGGTACTCACCAGCTGAAGAATGGAGTCGATGGCACGGTTGTACTTGTCGCACAGCTGCCTCATGCTCTCGTAACTGCGGGCAAAGGGCGGCTGGTTAGGGAAGCTGCACGCGGGTGGCGATGCTGACGATAACTATTCATCATGAGTCTATACTGACCGTAAGGATTGCAATCAGCGATAATATTTTCAGTAATGTTAACTTGTAATTATAATAATTACAATTATCACAATGATTATAACAACGATAATAATGATAATGATACACGTGAAAATAATAACAATAACAGCAAATACACAGGAATAATAACAATTGATAACACCAATAACAATAAATAATATGACAACATAAACTAATAACACCTATTGCAGTATAAAAATAGTAAAAGCAACAGGTCAATAACACCCTTTCTATAATAATCAAAGCAAAACTAAGAACCATTGTCCTCCATGCGCCTTTAGTATTTCCCCACAAGAGCCCACAGGTGGAAAGATATATATGGGTTCTGCTGACGCACGTCACGTCACCCAATGACATCAGCCACTCCTAGTTCCCTCCACTTGTCAATGACAACTGCTGTCTGTGTCTGTCTGTTTGTCTGTCTGACTGTCTGTACAGCTACAGCATCCTCTTCACACCTTATCACCCTCTGTTGTCTGTCCGTCAGTCAGTCTGTCTGTTCGTCCGTCCATCTACGGCATCCTCTTCACACCTTATCACCATCTGTTTCGCGTGCCCCCCCCCCCCCTCGTGTGCCCCCCTGCCTGTCTACCTGTCCGACCGTCGACTGGCTCCCCGTCCTATCTGCCTATCTGCCAATCAGTCTCCACACCTGCTTGCCTTTATCTCTCTATAATCCGTGTTTATCTTATTATTCATCCTGGCCCGCGTGCCTCCCCCTCGCCCCCTCTCCCCAGAGCCCCCCCCCTCTCTTCCGCAAGTGCGATCGAGTGCCCGTACGACCATCTACATGAGACAATCACCCTGCCTGAGAACGACCACCTATGTGCGATGACCACTGCCTGAGGACTAATTGTGAGACGATCACCTGCATGAGCACGACTATCTGTGAGACGACCACCTGAGTTAAACCATCTGCCTGAGTAGGACCACCTACGAGAGGCGACCATCTACCTGAGCACGAGACCACTGAGTAAACCATCTGCCTGAGTACGACCACCTATGAGAGGCGACCATGTGCCTGAGCACACGCCACCCACTCCGCACGCCCAGGCAGCTCGTCGGGTCTGCTCTGTTTCCCTCGCCAGGTCCTCCCTCCTCCGCCTCACCACTCCGAGGAAGAGGTGGAGAGATAAACGTTGAGAGTAAAGTGAGTGTGAGTGAGAGAGAGGGAAAGAGGGAGGGGGTAGAGAGAGAGGGAGGGAGAGATGGAGAAAGAAGGGAGGAGGGGAGGAAGGGGAGGGAGAGAGAGAGAGAGAGAGAGAGAGAGAGAGAGAGAGAGAGAGAGAGAGAGAGAGAGAGAGAGAGAGAGAGAGAGAGAGAGAGAGAGAGAGAGAGAGAGAGAGAGAGTGGGTGGGGGGGGAGAAGGGAGAGAGAGAGGAGGGGGAAGGGAAGAGAGAGATAGAGAGATAAGAAATATGTAAGTGTGAGAAAACAAGGAATAGAAAAAAGAGGACAAAATATGGGCGTGCATGCGTGTGTGCGTGTGTGTTGTGCGTGTGTGTGTCTCGGCTCCGTTAGCCTTGACATTTTGGCCGTAAAAGATGCCGGACGAGCAATCCGATGGGACGGATGTAGGAGGGAGTGAGCAGGAAGCGGGGGGAAGGGGGGAAGGGGGAAGAAGAGAGACAAATTCGGAGAT